GTGTTACATTATTACGTCTCCCCCCCTAACCCCCCCCCTGGGAGCTGCGCCGCACCGCCGGACCAAAATGATCCCCCCCTTTCTGGGACCCTAAAAACCTACAAAAACTTATGAAAACAAATCCGCCTCTTGGGCCTCTTGGGGTTCCAAGAGGGCCTCAAGATGGCCCAAGATGGCCCTAAGACGGCCCAAGACGGCCCAAGATATTCCCAACGGGGGCCCATGAGGCCCCCAAGACGGCCCCAAGAGGGCCCCAAAAGCTCCAAGGACGGCCCAACAGGGCCCAAGAGCGCCCATAACTGCGCCTCCAGAGGCCGAAATCATTGATTGCCCGATGGTTCTTGTAACATTTTAGCGTTCTCGTCTTTTTCGGCTTTCAAAAATCCATGACGGCCCAAGCAGCTTCCAGAATCGCCCCAGAACAGCCCAACAAATCCCCCAGAGGGCCCCAAGACGGCCCAAGAGGGCCCCAAAACAACCCAAAGAGGCCCCCAAGACGGTCCAAGAGGCAGCGAAGACGGCCCAAGAGGACCACAAGAGGGCTCCAATGCGGCCGCGAGAGGCCCCCAAGACAGCCTCCGAGGGGGCGAAGCGGCGCAAAAGCGCCCCAAGACGGCCCAAGACGCCCCCAAGAGGCCCCAAGAGGCCCCCAACAAGCCTCCAATAAGTCCCCCAGAAGCTTCCAAAAGGCCTCCAACAAGCCCCCCAAAGGCCACACAGCGACTGGTGTGTAATGTAATTTTCCCCCCTTTGGGCGAACTGCGGCGCAGCGCCAGCCGCGTGGAAGTTGGCCACTGCGGCGCCCATGATTGGAGCCGGCGATGGAAGGGAAGATGGGGAGGGTGTATGAAAAGGAGGGAGGGGGGAAAGCCCCCAAAGAAACCCCCAAAAGGCCAAAAGAAACTCCCAGGAGGCCTCCAGGAGGCCCCCAAAAGGCTCCCAAGAGGCCCCGCGACGACGTGACTGTACGTGCTCCGGACGTGTACCCCGCGAAGCGAGAGGAATCCACGTCCGGAAGTGACGTGCTGAGCGGCAGCGTTTTTCGGCGAACGCCTTAATGCAACGTATCCAATGTATCCAAAGATTCCATAATTGCAACATATTGTATTGTGTTACATAATTATGTCTCCCCCCCGAACCCCCCCTGGGAGCTGCGCCACACCGCCGGACCAAAGTGACCCCCCTTCTTCTGGGGCCCTAAAAACTTACAAAAACATATGAACAATTAGCAATTTCGGCCTCAAGATGGCCCAAGATGGCCCAAGATGGCCCAAGATGGCCCTAAGATGGCCCTAAGACGGCCCAGGACGGCCCAAGATATTCCCAACGGGGGCCCATGAGGCCCCCAAGACGGCCCCAAGAGGGCCCCCAAAGCTCCAAGGACGGCCCAAAAGGGCCCCGAGAGCGCTCATAACTGCGCCTCCAGAAGCCGAAATCATTGATTTTCCTATGGTTCTTGCAATATGTTAGCGTTCTCGTCTCTTTCGGCTTTCAATTATCCCGGCAAAGCAACCTAACAGCGATGTGTAGAAGCATATATGGAAGCATTCCCCTTAAGATTCAGATGAGAATCCAGTTGTAGAGTTCTGCTGTTCTCGCAGTCGCAGTCGCATTCGCGATGACAGTCGCAGTGGCAGCGGCAGTCGCAGTCACAGCCTCAGCCTGCCTCAGTATCAGCCTGCCTCAGCCTCAGCCTCAGCCTGCCTCAGCCTCAGCCTCAGCCTGCTTCAGCCTCAGCCTCAGTCTGCCTTCAGCCTCAGCCTCTGTGCCTCAGCCTGCCTCAGCCTCAGCCTGCCTCAGTATCAGCCTGCTTCAGCCTCAGCCTCAGCCTGCCTCAGCCTCAGCCTCAGCCTGCTTCAGCCTCAGCCTCAGCCTGCCTTCAGCCTCGGCCTCAGCCTCAGCCTGCCTCAGCCTCAGCCTGCATCAGCCTCAGCCTCAGCCTCACCCTGCCTCAGCATCAGCCTGCCTCAGCGTCTGCCTCAGCCTGCCTCAGCCTCAGCCTCAGCCTCAGCCTCACATTCAGCCTCAGCCTCAGCCTGCCTCAGCCTCAGCCTGCCTCAGCCTCAGCCTCAGCCTGCCTCAGCCTCAGCCTGCCTCCTCAGCCTCAGCCTGCTTCAGCCTCAGCCTCAGTCTGCCTTCAGCCTGCCTCAGCCTCAGCCTGCCTCAGCCTCAGCCTGCCTCAGCCTCAGCCTGCCTCCTCAGCCTCAGCCTCAGCCTCAGCCTGCCTCAGCCTCAGCCTCAGCCTCAGCCTCAGCCTCAGCCTCAGCCTCAGCCTCAGCCTCATCAGCCTGCCTCAGCGTCTGCCTCAGCTGCCTCAGCCTCAGCCTGCCTCAGCCTCAGCCTCAGCCTGCCTCAGCCTCAGCCTCAGCCAGCCTCAGCCTCAGCCTGCCTCAGCATCAGCCTGCCTCAGCCTCAGCCTCAGCCTCAGCCTCAGCCTCAGCCTCAGCCTGCCTGCCTCAGCCTCAGCCTCAGCCTCAGCAGGTCGATGATGTTTTTTCACCGGTGCCAGAGCTTAGAAAGGATTACCTGACCAACTGAATGCACTGAGCTGCCACGAGCCTGGACAGCCTGCTGCAACGAGAGTGAGCACAGTGCGACTGCCCTTTGAAAAAGGTGAAGAGGGGGCGGAGGGGAGGAGGGGGAAGCAGCGTGACTTGAGCCGTAATTGTTACGGGCAAGTGGCACCTCACAAAACCTCGAGACCCAAATCTACAAGTAGTGCAAGGTCGATGATGTTTTTTCACCGGTGCCAGAGCTTAGAAAGGATTACCTGACCAACTGAATGCACTGAGCTGCCACGAGCCTGGACAGCCTGCTGCAACGAGAGTGAGCACAGTGCGACTGCCCTATCCCACCTTATGTGCTCTGGCAATTGTCTTGGCAAGTAGTGAGCAAAGGGCGGGAGGGTAGGGTTCTGCGCGCTTTGTCCAAAAGACTCCTGTGGGTCTTTGCCCTCCAACGCCCAGTGAGGCAACTTAGTTCTAGAACAAAGCGACGTAGTACATTTTCTTGTCAGCGAGCTGAGGCCAGGGACAGTGCCAACAAATTTTGTTGCCTTTCGCCAGCGTTCCCCGAACATACAGAAGTCAAGTCGAGCGATGGAAAAGTGCAATTCTGTAAGCAACTGTATGATTTCGGGAATCACCCACAAAATTGACGTGAGAGGATTCTCGATCGTAACTGTGATACCTTTTTTCGCAGCTAGCCGACAGGCTTTGATTACAAACGCAATGAGCTTATTTGCGGCAACTGCTTTGCTGAGGCCCGTGCCCTCCAAGTCCGGGTAGCCCCAAGGAAAACCGTTTGACCTGAGAGGAGGAGGAGGTCCAGAGCCTCCGGGACGCCGTGCGCGCGAGAGGGTCTGACAGGGCAGCGCAAAGTGAAGGTGGCAATACCTACGCAGGCGGATGCCCCTTATCGGTCTGTTCTGGGCGCCTGAGAGTGTGAGGTCACACGACGGTCCGTCCAGTATGTCCCAACCTTCACACGGAATTCCCCGACGAGCGAGCGCCTTGGCTAGCCTCCCGGAACCTGCGAAGACCTCCGCCGCTTTCCGACTAGGCGACGGCCTATCGTCCGAGGAGGTCGGTTGAGATGCATAGAACGTCCATGGAGCCACTCGTCGAGGTACTGCACGGCGAGACGGCCGTAGGTCAGGGTGTCCGACGGCGTGCGGTTGATCGCCTGCTGCACCTTCCCAAACTTTTCGTAGCGTCTGACGGAGTTGAACGTCTTCCAGCCCCCGCGCTTCTGGATCTCGGAGAGGTCGCGCCTCTTCAGCATGGCATCCCTCGAGGCACCTCCGTGCCTCACCTGGTAAGTGCAGAGCTGCTCGGCGGCAAGCCCGACGAGGTCGGCGGCGTCCTCGAACGCGTCCTTGCACTGGCTGATCGACAGGCGGAACAGCTTCTCGCTCGGGTCCCGCCCCCTCGCCAACTGCACCAGGTGGGTCGAGATATGCGCGTCCAGGTCCTCGACCGAGACAGTGTCGTCGAAGCTCCCCGTCTTGCGCGGCTGCCCCCTCTCCTCCGGCCGCATGACAAGGCAGAGGCGGTGGTAGCCCCGGAGGCGGGGCGCAGGCAGCACTACATCCCCAACCTGCAGGTCCGTAATCTCCCCAGGTCGGGAATACGCATCGCGGGCCGCCAGCAAGCAGAGGGCCGCATCCCGCCGCTTCGTGGCCAGCAAGGTCCCCGCAATGGCGGCCGTCCATTCCCAAGGCAACCCAAAGCGAGAGGCGCCGGGGGCGGCCTTGCGGAAGCCCCTCAGCGCCCTCCTCATCCGCGTCAGCGGCAGGGCAAGAGGGCGAGGGCCTCCGCTCCTCATGAACTTGAGGGCCCCGAGGAGCTTGTCCCCCGATGACTAGATCGCGTCCAGGTAGTCGACCGCCGCCGCGTCCACGTCCTCGTCCGAGCGCAGTGGGATGCCCTCGTTCGCGGCCCACTTGGCGAACTCGGCGTAGGTCGCCCTGTACGTGGCCGCCTGCTGGGGCTGCACCGACGCCTGCTCCAGGATACTGAGCTGGCGGGGGTCCCTCTGGAGCAGGAGCGGCCCGGGAGTAATACCCCCCGCTGGGACAGCGTGCCTCGCCCTTCGAGCCTTGGCACGGTCCTCCCGCAGACGGCGACTCCGCTGCGCCGAAGGGTGGCCCCTCGGCGGCTGAAGCAGGCTTGCCACCGGAGGCGCGGCCGATCTCGATGAGCTCGTCGATACTGTAACGACGGACAACACGCCCTCTGGCGGCGTCGGGGGTCGCCTGCGGTTGGCCGCGGGCCCCGCGGGCCTCAGCGCATGAACTGACGTCGCCTTCGTTGGAACTGGCGTCCGAGTCGGTGCTCGGAGCATCGATCGTGGGAAACTCCCCACTGTGAGCCAAGTGGTTACAGGTAGAAGAAGATGAAGGGAAAGATTTACGTCCGCGGTGCGCCCGCTGCGGGGCTGAGGGTTCGAACATCCGAGAAGGCGCATCAGCATGATTAACTTCAGACACGACCCAGCGCCATTTGAACTTGCAATTGAGGGCGACCGTGTAAGCCGCAACACTTCTACAACAACCCAGCATACGATAGCCCCCACTGCGCCCCTTGGAGAAGGCCAAGATGGAGCCCATGGAGTCCCCGAGGATGAGGTGCTTCTTGTTGCGGTTCCCAACAGACCTCCCAAGAGACTTGCAAACCAATCTTCCAGTACGGGCCTCCAGCAGGGCGATGTGCTCGTCCCGAAACCAGGGCTTTGACAGGATGGTGTGCCAGGAGTCCTTCTCGAGCAACTTTGCGGGGACCTCCGGGAACCCGCGCCTTCTCTTCCAGGGGCGAGGGGGCGGCGGTGCGACAGGGAGTACTGTTTCAACATTTTCGATCACATCTCGGAAGTGCCAGAGAGCTCCCGCACGCACGCCCCTCGCGAGCGCATGAGGCTGCTTGAAACGCCACCGCTCATTGTACTGGCCAGTACCGGCGATGAGCTTCTCGTCGAAAACGCCCTGGACGATCCCAAGGCCTGTCTCCGACGAGTCGAACACGTGGGCCGTGGGGCTCCACGGCCGACGCAGGTTGGCACGAGCAAAACGGACTAAAGCTGCCAGCCACTCACACTCCCGCGCGGCTGACTGCCACAAGCGGACCTTCTGCTTATAATGCACCCTGACAAAGCGATAGCACGAGCCAAAGATGCTCAGCAGGGAGCGCTCGCCCATGAGCTGGAAAGTGCAGTGCCCCAAAAAGCGCTCAAGCATCACGCCTGTGATCCTCGGACGGCGCGCAAGCCAGCGGCCCGCGGCGGCCAGGCGGGCGGCCCTCTTGGCCGTGGGCCCCACCTCGCCAGTCAAGCCGTCGATGGCGAAGCCGAGGCTCTCGGCCCAGAGGGAGGCGTCCTCCTCCTCGTGCACTGCGAAGCCGTCGGCCGTGAGCTGGCGAGCCACTGCGATGCGAGCGCCGTCGGCAAGCTCCGGGGGGCCCGCCCCAGTGGCATGGTTGTCGCAGTAAGGCAACGACACGAGGCCGCGGGAGCCAATCGTCGGGCCAGGCTGGCGATCCTGTAGTACCAGTCCGGCGGTGTCCGGAAGCACCCCCTTGACGACGGAGGAGTGGACGATCTGCGCCAGATAGAAGCTCCAGCTGAACCCCATGGGAAGCACTCGAAAGGCGGGCGCAACGGCGTCGCGCCCGTAGAACTGGCTAAAGCGGCTGTCGTTGCCCTCCAGCTCGGAGACGAGCCAACCTGGGACGTCGTCGAGGCAAAAGTAGCTGGAGAGGTCATCGTCGATGCCGCAGGCGTAGAAGTAGTCCTTGATGTCTGACAGGCTCACCCAGAGGTCGGCGTCGTCCTCCGGGAGAATCTCTCCCCAGCTCGACCCGGTACCCATAGGCAAATAAGGGCACCGCCGGAAGCGCCTGTTGGTGGCGCGGCAGTCCACCACGAGCCTCTGCTTGCCCGTCTTCTTGGCCACACAGAAGACCGTGACTCGTCCACGTACCAAAGGCGCCCAGCGGATAAGGCCTGCCGAATGACAGTCTCGGACAAACTGAAAATAGGTCTTCTTGGAGTAGCGAAGCTTCGGATCCATGTAGAGTTTGATGGGATCCGCCCTTTCACACACGGCGCCCCATTCCTGATCATCGAGCAGAATGTTGTTCAGGTCCTCGAGACAACAGCGAACCTTCGGCGGCAGCATCTCTTTGACAGGGACGGGCCCCGCCCCCACGAGGGGGATGCTGAGAAGGTTCCGGTCGTAGGACTGCACCAAGGTCGACTCGCCACCGTGCGCGGAGTCTGTCCCGAGGAGCGCGCGCACGGCCCCCTCGGAGCCGTAGTCACCTTGCGGCGGCTCGGCTGCGTCATGCACTGAACGAATGAATTGAATGGCCTCCCGCTGACACAGCGAGGGCGGGGAAGATGACGGCGTCAGATGGCCATCGAGAGCACTGAGGGCCTTGATCGTGCGATTGACCTCGGCATCCACAGCACTCCGCTTCAAAACTCGTCGCTGTACCGAGCGACTCACGCTGTGATCTTGAAGATGTTCGACCTCGAGCTCAGGAAGAGGAAAGAGGTCACGGGGAACTTGCACAGGTAGGCGGGGCCCCTTCTCATACTTGAACCCAGCCGCCGGAGTCCCAGAGGGAGCGACTGGGTCCTGCAAGCTGGTCATGGCCCCCCTGCGCCGGAGCCGCCGGCGCCCCCGTCTCCCTCCCCGCCGCCCTTACCACCACGGCCACGGCCTTTCGGCTTCCGGAGGCGGATCGTCTCCTCGAGCTTGCGACCCTCCTTCAGGACTGCTGCCCGATCTCGAGCTGCGTCGGCGGCCCGCTTCTTGATAGACGGCGCCACCAGAGCGGCCCCGCGCTGAACGCCCCAGCCCATGAAGTCGTCCGAATTGCTGTAGTCGGGGTTGCTGGGGTTGTACACGTGGGCCTGCTCGACGAGCTGCAGGCGTCGCCCGAGCAGCTCGAAAGAAGTCAAAGTCATCGTGTTCAACTGGTCCAGCTCGATCGCGAGGTCGAAGACCTTGGAGATCACGAAGTGCTCGTGGATGCTGCGGTCGCCGCTCGGGATGCCGCTAGCCGATAGCCAGGTGTGGTGGCGCGTCACCATCCCCTCGGAAGACTGGGCCACCTCGGTGAGCAGCCACGGGAGGCTCACGTCACCTTGCAGCGGCGAGTCGCCAAAGTCATGGAACTCCTGGAGCGAGATGGCCTCGCGGAAATTGCGGCCGCGCTGTTGAGCCGACCTCCACTTCACAGGGATGACTCTCGCGTCGGTCTCCTGATCCCGGAGCAGCTTGATCATGCCCGTGTCCTGCCGCAACACCTCCTGCAGTATCAGAAACTTGGCTCCTCGCTTGACCAGCCAGTAAGCGCCCAAGCCGACCGTGATGTCGCCTGGGATGTGAATGCGTTCCTTCTCCGCCTCTGGGTCGCCGTCGGCCGAAGAGCCAATCGCCCAGAGGACACGTCCAGCTGCTGGCGCTGGAGGGGGACCTTCGCGAACGGCACCTGACTCAGGGTCAAGCGCATGCTGTTCAACCCTCGCGTCAGAGATCGCCCTCATCACCAACAGCGGGGTAGGAGGTCCAGCTGAGCGGTCTGCACGGAAGCCGTGGGTGTTGGCCGCCACTGGAGGAGGAAGCGGACGTACTTGCAGCTGAAGATGGGGCACCTCCGCGTCGTCGTAGTACGCGATACCCTCCAGCGGCGGCGCCGCCAGCTCCTCCGGATACACGTCCCCGTCCGGGGTGAGCACCCACCAGACCATGCCCCCATTGTACAGGGACTCGCCCGTGCACTTCTGCATCGCCGTCTCCGAGCCAGGCTCGAGGAGGACCCGCTCGTGCCACTTGGGCGGCGGCGCCGGGAGCGGGTCCGGCTGGTAAAACAGGCTGACCTTCCGCCCTGCCTCGAGAGTGATCGCCGCCATCCACCCGAGCATCCAATCGATGTTCTCCAGACGCCACCCGCACTCTGCAACGCGCACACCGCGAAACGACCTTCACGAAATACACGCTCGCAACTCCAGTGAACACGCCCAGGCCGAATGCGGCCGACGTGAAGAACTGAGTGGGGTCGACGCCCGTCACGCAAGAATAGGCAGCCGAGCCGATGGCGCGGCGGCAGCTGGGCTCGCCAGCAATGGAGACTGAGCTGGAGGCGAGCCAGGCGACGCCTGAATGCATCGAGGACGGGCACCTCAAAGCAGCGTGACTTGAGCCGTAATTGTTACGGGCAAGTGGCACCTCACAAAACCTCGAGACCCAAATCTACAAGTAGTGCAATCACCATTCTCAGCCTGTGCCTCAGCATCAAAATGTGGCCCGGGAATGGAGTTTTGGGAACTCGAAGAGCACGAAGTGGCCTACATCTGGGCATTCAAAATGTGGCCCGGGAATGGAGCTCTGGGAAGTCGAAGAGCACGAAGTGGCCTACAGTTGGCTCCGGGCATTCAAAATGTGGCCCGGGAATGGAGTTCTGGGCACTCGAAGAGCACGAAGTGGCCTACAGTTGGCTCCGGGCATTCAAAATGTGGCCCGGGAATGGAGTTCTGGGAACTCGAAGAACACGAAGTGGCCTACAGTTGGCTCCGGGCATTCAAAATGTGGCCCGGGAATGGAGTTCTGGGAAGTCGAAGACCACGAAATGGCTTACAGTTGGCTCCGGGCATTCAAAATGTGGCCCGGGAATGGAGTTCTGGGAAGTCGAAGAGCACGAAGTGTGTGACTGTTGCATCCGGTTATTCAGAATGTGGCATGGGAGTGGCGTTCTGAGAGGTCGACGACCACGAAGTGTGTGACTGTTGGTGAAAAACGAGCCCGGCACAGGCCCGGCCGGCAACTCCCAACGCCTGCCCGGACCCCCCTGTGGAGTGATATGTGAGCTCTTTTGAGTCAACTAGAAACCTATCAGTCTTCGCTGTTAGGTAAAAATCCATGACGGCCCAAGAAGCTTCCATAATCGCCCATGAACAACCCAAAAAGCCCCCAAGAGGGCCCCAAGACAGCCCAAGAGGGCCCCAAAACGACCCAAAGAGGCCCCCAAGACGGTCCAAGAGGCAGCGAAGACGGCCCAAGAGGACCACAAGAGGGCTCCAATGCGGCCGCGAGAGGCCCCCAAGACAGCCTCCGAGGGGGCGAAACGGCGCAGAAGCGCCCCAAGACGGCCCAAGACGCCCCCAAGAGGCCCCAAGAGGCCCCCAACAAGCCTCCAAGAAGTCCCCCAGAAGCCTCCAAAAGGCTTCCAACAAGCCCCCCAAAGGCCACACAGCGACTGGTGTGTGATGATATTTTCCCCCCTCTGGGCGAACTGCGGCGCAGCGCCAGCCAAGTGGAAGTTGGTCACTGCGGCGCCCATGATTGGAGCCGGCGATGGAAGGGAAAATGGGGAGGGTGTATCAAAAGGAGGAAGGGGGGAAAACCCCCAAAGAAGCCCCCAAAAGGCCAAAAGAAACTCACAGGAGGCCTCCAGGAGGCCCCCAGAAGGCTCCCAAGGGGCCCGCGACGACGTGACTGCACGTGCTCTGGACGTGCACCCCGCGAAGCGAGAGGAATCCACGTCCGGAGGTGACGTGCTGAACGGCAAGTTTTTTCGGCGAGCGCCTTAATGCAACGTGTCCAATGTATCCAAAGATTCCATAATTGCAACAAATTGTATTGTAATACGTTATCATGGTTTCCCCCCTAACCCCCCTGGGAGCCGCGCCACAGCGCCGTACCAAACTGATCGCCCCCTTCTGGGTCCCTCAAAGCCTACAAAAACTTTATGAAACATCAACAAATTCGGCCTCTTGGGGCTCCAAGAGGGCCTCAAAATTGCCCAGGATGGCCCCAAGACGGCCCAAGACGGCCCCAAGACGGCCCAAGATATTCCCAACGGGGGCCCATGAGGCCCCCAAGACGGCCCCAAGAGGGCCCCAAAAGCTCCAAGGACGGCCCAAAAGGGCCCCAAGACCGCCCACAATTGCGCCTCCAGAGGCCGAAATCATTGATGTTCCTATGGCTTTTCTGCAATATCTTAGCGTTCTCGTCTCTTTCGGCTTTCAAAAATCCATGACGGCCCAAGCAGCTTCCAGAATCGCCCCAAAACAACTTAAAAAGCCCCCATGAGGGCCCCAAGACAGCCCAAGAGAGCCCCAAAACGACCCAAAGAGGCCCCCAAGACGGTCCAAGAGGCAGCGAAGACGGCCCAAGAGGACCACAAGAGGGCTCCAATGCGGCCGCGAGAGGCCCCCAAGACAGCCTCCGAGGGGGCGAAACGGCGCAAAAGCGCCCCAAGACGGCCCAAGACGCCCCCAAGAGGCCCCTAGAGGCCCCCAACAAGCCTCCAAGAAGTCCCCCAGAAGCCTCCAAAAGGCCTCCAACAAACCCCCCAAAGGCCACACAGCGACTGGTGTGTGATGATATTTTCCCCCCTCTGGGCGAACTGCGGCGCAGCGCCAGCCAGGTGGAAGTTGGTCACTGCGGCGCCCATGATTGGAGCCGACGATGGAAGGGAGGATGGGGAGGGTGCGTGAAAAGGAGGGAGGGGGGAAACCCCCCAAAGAAGCCCCCAAAAGGCCAAAAGAAACTCCCAGGAGGCCTCCAGGAGGCCCCCAAAAAGCTCCCAAGGGGCCCCGCGACGACGTGACTGTACGTGCTCTGGGCGTGCACCCCGCGAAGCGAGAGGAATCTACGTCTGGAGCGGCAGGTTTTTTTTTTTTTTTTTTTTTTTTTTTTTTTTTTTTTTTTTTTTTTTTTTTTTTTCGGCGAGCGCCTTAATGCAACGTATCCAATGTATCCAAAGATTCCATAATTGCAACAACTTGGATTGTAATACATTATCATGTCTCCCCCCTTAACCCCCCTGGGAGCCGCGCCACAGCGCCGTACCAAACTGATCGCCCCCTTCTGGGTCCCTCAAAGCCTACAAAAACTTTATGAAACATCGACAAATTCGGCCTCTTGGGGCTCCAGGAGGGTCTCAGGATGGCCCAGGATGGCCCCAAGACGGCCCAAGATATTCCCAACGGGGGCCCATGAGGCCCCCAAGACGGCCCCAAGAGGGCCCCAAAAGCTCCAAGGACGGGCCAAAAGGGCCCCAAGAGCGCCCACAACTGCGCCTCCAGAGGCCGAAATCATTGATGTTCCTATGGTTTTCTGCAATATCTTAGCGTTCTCGCTTTTTTCGACTCTCGAAAATCCATGACGGCCCAAGCAGCTTCCAGAATCGCCCCTGAACAACCCAAAAAGCCCCCAAGAGGGCCCCAAGACAGCCCAAGAGGGCCTCCAAACGGCCCACAGAGGCCCCCAAAACGGTCCAAGAGGCCGCGAAAACGGCTCAAGAGGACCCCAAGAGGGCTTCAATGCGGCCGCGAGAAGCCCCCAAGACAGCCTCCGGGGGGGCGAGACGGCGCAAAAGCGCCCCAAGACGGCCCAAGACGCCCCCAAGGGGCCCCAAAAGGCCCCCGAGAAGTCCCCCAGAAGCCTCCAAAAGGCCTCCCAAAAACCCCCCAAAGGCCACACAGCGACTGGTGTGTGATGATATTTTCCCCCCTCTGGGCGAACTGCGGTGCAGCGCCAGGCAGGTGAAAGTTGGTCACTGCGGCGCCCATGATTAGAGCCGGCGCTGGAAAGGAACATGGGGAGGGTGTATGACAAACTAGGTGCGCCCGCGTCATATCTGACGTCCTACCCCTCCGTCCCATCCCTTACCATGGCGCTGATTTTCTCTATCCGCGGACGCGTGTCGTAGCGGACCTGTGGCTCCGCGCGAGGGGGCGTAGTGGGTGGTGGTGCGCGTGCGTGCGTGCGTGCGTGTGTGCGTTGTTGTGGTGGTGGTGGTGGTGGTGGTGGTGGTGGTGGTGGTGGTGGTGGTGGTTGTGGTGGTGCTGGTGGTGGTGGTGGTGGTGGTGCTGGTGGTGGTTGTGGTGGTGGTGGTGGTGGTGGTGGTGGTGGTGGTGGTGGTGGTGGTGGTGCGGCGCGGTGGTGGCGGGCGGATGGGCGCGCGAGAAGGAGGCCCGCGCTGGGGCGAACGCCATCCTGAACGACGGAGGCCAAACACCGATCCGAAAATGAGGCCCACGCTGCAGCGGGAGCACGATTCGGAACGATTCGGGAGCAGAAGTGAGGCCGGCGCCTCAGCGAGAGCAGCATTTAAGCGAAAACCCGTTTCCCGGGAATCCTGCGTGTAAAAAAACACTACGCGGGGGGCGGGGGGGCGGATATCTTCGGGACGCCATCAGGGGAAGTGGGAGAGTATTTTCATCTTGTGTAATTGTAAAGGAGGGAGGAGGGAAAGGCCCGAAAGAAGTCCTCAAGAGGCCCAAAGAAATTCCAGGAGGCCTCCAGGAGGCCCCCAAAAGGCTCCCAAGAGGCCCCGCGACGACGTGACTGCACGTGTTCCGGACGTGCACCCCGCGAAGCGAGAGGAATCCACGTCCGGAGGTGATTACTGAGCGGCAGGTTTTTTTTTCCGGCGAGCGTCTTAATGCAACGTATCCCATGTATCCACAGATTCCAGAATTGTAACATATTGTATTGCAGTGTATTATCATGTCTCCCCCCTAACCCTCCTGGGAGCCGCGCCACAGCGCAGTACCAAACTGACTGCCCCCTTTCTGGGGCCCTGAAAACATACAAAAACGTATGAAACATCAACAACTTCGGCGCCTCTTGGGCCTCTTGGGGCTCCAAGAGGGCCTCAAGATGGCCCAAAGTGGCCCCAAAACGGCCCAAGATGTTCCCAACGGGGGCCCATGGGGCCCCCAAAACGGCCCCAAAAGGGCCCCCCACGCCCCAAAGACGGCCCAAAAGGGCCCCAAGAGCGCCCACAACTGCGCCTCCAGAAGCCGGAATCATTGATGTTCCTATGGTTTTCTGCCATATATTAGCGTTCTCGCTTTTTTCGACTCTCAAAAATCCATGACGGCCCAAGCAGCTTCCAGAATCGGCCCAAAACAACCCAAAAAAAAACCAAGAGGGCCCCCAAACGGCCCAAAGAGGCTCCCAAAACGGTCCAAGAGGCCGCGAAGACGGCCCAAGAGGACCCCAAGAGGGCTCCAATGCGGCCGCGAGAGGCTCCCAAGACAGCCTCCGGGGGGGCGAAACGGCGCAAAAGCGCCCCAAGACGGCCCAAGACGCCCCCAAGAGGCCCCAAAAGGCCCCCAAGAAACCCCCCAGAAACCTCCAAAAGGCCACCCCCGAAA